AAACATTTGCTTAACAAGTCACATAAGTTGCATGGACCTATTCTGTGTGCAATAATAGTGTTCAACATGATTTTTGAATGACTAACTCATTTCTGTACCCCACACTTACAATTACCTGTAAGGTCCCTCAATCGAGCAGTGAATTTCAAACACAAAGACCAGGGAAGTTTTCCAATGCCTTGCAAAGAACGACACCTATTGGTAGATGGGTAAAAATAAAAAAGGCAGACATTGAATATATCCTTTGAGCATGGTGAAGTTATTAATTACACTTTGGATGGTGTATCAATACACCCAGTCACTACAAAGATACAGGTGTCCTTCCTTACTCAGTTGCCGGAGAGGAAGGAAACCGCTCAGGGATTTCACCATAAGGCCAATGGTGAGTGACTTTCATCCTTAAATCACACTTCTCCAGCATGCCAATGGCCATCGAAGGTGAGCATTTGCCAACTGAAGTCTGTAAGGACGACGAGCACACAGATGAGCTTTCCTGAGACGGGACAGTTTGTGCAGAAATTATTCGGTTGTGCAAACCCTCAGTTTCATCAGCTGTCCAGGTGGCTGGTCTCAGACTATCCCGCAGGTGAAGAAGCCTGATGTGGAGGTCCTGGGCTGGCGTGGTTACACGTGGTCTGCGGTTGTGAGGCCAGTTGGACGTACTGCCAAATTCTCTAAAACAACTCAGGTGGCTTATGGTAGAGAAATGAACATTCAAATCTCTGGCAACAGCTCTGGTGGACATTTCTGCAATCAGCATGCCAATTGCACACTCACTCAAAACTTGAGACATCTGTGGAATTGCATTGTGTGACAAAACTGCACATTTTAAAGTGGCCTTTTATTGTCCAAGGTGCACCTGTGTAATGATCATGCTGTTTAATCAGCTTATTGATATGCCACACCTGTCTGGTGGATGGCAAAGGAGAAATGCTCACTAACATTGTGTAAACAAATGTGTGCACAAAATTTGAGAGAAAAGCTTTTTGTGCATATGGAAAGTTTCTGGGATCTTTTATTTCAATTCATGAAACATGGGACCAACACTTTACATGTTGCGTTTATATTTTTGTTCAGTATAAATGAGCTTTCTGTATTTCATTTAACAAATTTGCAAAGATTTCAACAACAAAAAAAATCACTTTGTCATTATGGGGTATTGTGTGTAGATGAGTGAGAAAATAAATCATTTTAATCCATTTTGAATTCAGGCTGTAACACAACAAAATGTGGAATAAGTCAATGGATATGAATACTTTCTGAAGGCACTGTAGCTACCCCAGAAGTTGCTAATTGTCACGACTTCCTCCGTGGCTGCCTCCTCTCCTTGTTTGGGCAGGCTTCAGCGTTCGTCGTCACCGGCTTTCTAGCCACTGCCGCATCACATCTCATTATACCATTTGTTTTGTCTTGTCTATTGCACACAGCTGGTTCATATCCCCTCATTATCGATTACTGAACAGGGGGACGGAACAATTTAGTTATCCTCTCCCCCTCATTCCTTCGGTAATTGAGTCAATGCATGGGGCGCGCTTCTTCACCAAATTAGATCTCCGGAGTGCGTACAACCTGGTGCGTGTCCGAGAGGGGGACGAGTGGAAGACAGCATTCAGCACAACCACGGGGCATTATGAATACCTGGTGATGCTGTACGGTTTGATGAATGCTCCATCCGTCATCCAGTCCTTTGTGAATGAGGTGTTTCAGGACATGCTTGGTCACGGTGTAGTGGTCTACATCGATGACATTCTGGTGTATTCCGCTACACGCGCTGAGCATGTGTCCCTGGTTCGCAAAGTGCTGGCCCAGAAGGCCAACTGCCACCGCAGTGAGGCCCGGTCTTCGTACCGGGTGATCGGTTCTGGCTCTCGACCAGGAATCTGCCCCTCCTCCTGCCCTGACGGAAGCTGAGCCAGCGGTTTGTGGGGCCGTTCAAAGTCCTGAGGAGGATAAATGAGGTTACCTATAGGTTATTACTCCCACATTATTATCGTATTAACCCCTCGTTCCATGTGGCTCTACCTCAGGCCGGTGGTGGCTGGTCTGCTCCAGGAGTCTGAGGTGCGGGAGGTCCCTCCACCTCCTCTGGACATCAAGGGGGCCCCAGCGTTCTCCATCCGTTCCATCCTGGATTCGAGGCGTCGGTTGGGGTGCCTTCAGTACCTCGTGGAGTGGGAGGGGTACGGTCCGGAGGAACGGTGCTGGGTCCCGGTGAGGGATATCCTCGATCCCTCCCTGTTGCGGGATTTCCACCGTTGCCATCCGGCTCTTCCTGCTCCGCATCCTCCTAGCCGTCCCCGAGGCCGGTGATGTAGCCACTGCCACATCTCATCATTCCATTTGTTTTGTCTTGTCTATTACACACACCTGGTTCATATCCCCTCATTAGTACGTGTATACGTGTTCCCTCTGCCCCCTTGTCCTTGTGGGGGATTGTTTAATGTGAGGAGAGTGTAGCTCGGTTGAGCTCCGTGCATTTTTTATTGCTGTGTGCCTGTTTGGTTCCTGTGCGCCTGTTTTGCGCAATGGACTGTTTGATGCAATTCTGCATAACTCTGTATTCCGGAATAAACTCTGTATTCTGTGATTTACCCTCCTGCGCCTGACTCTTTCAAATCACCCATCACACTAATAACATCTGTATAAACGATATGTGTGAGTGACTTTGTCATGCTGCAAACCGAAGTCAAAGTACTAGGGACAATGTTGGCAAAATGATTGATTGATTATTTTCTGTATTTTGACTAGCTGGAATGAATCAGGTGCAAGTGATTGGGATGTGGCTGGCTGCCACTGGGATAGTTGCATGTCGGGGAGAATGTTGGGCTACCTAGCTACATTTGTTTAATCCTGATCTAATTTCAAATGCTCACACAGATGTTTTCCCATTTGGTCGAATAAATAATGACTGTTTACCAACGTGGTATTGTAAACACCAACGCGGTATTGTGGCCGGTGTGTGTGCTTGTTTGCAGACTTTTTGTTATTTTTTTGACAGTGTTACTGAATATAGTGGTGGCGCTTGGTCTGCGCAAATTACAGCTTTATTTTACACGTCAAATAGATATATGTTTTGATCCGCAAAGTCCCAAACGTTGTTCCATACCCTGATGGCATATCTAGAGCCAGACAACAAGATGCCATGTCAAAAAAACGTGACAGCCCGGATGGAGAAATTGTATTAACTACAATCATTGCTGAGTGGGTGGAGGACAGCAGTAAGTGCCGTCTGGTAGTCATGACTGCGGTAGATGGAACTGCATTGCCCCCTAGCGGTCATACGCAAGACCATATCTGCATTATGAATTCACATGTAATTTTATGATTCTTTTTTTCTTATCCTTTAACAAACTTTTAAGTATATAGCTTGGATGCATTTGTGACCTTCAGGTCAAAAGGGTCAAACTCAGTGATTAAATAAATCTTCTATTCCCATGACCACCACTGTGCATAGGAAGTAAATGTACCGCTACGACCAGTCCAGTCCTGAAAGCATTTGGTCACAAAAATAAATGGTTCAAAGGGTCCCGCCTCCCTGTTTTTCCACATAAACATGGTTGACTGAAATTTCCAGCCCTCACTCTTTGAGGTAGCCTCTCGAGAGGACATTTTGGAAATAAGGCCTGAATATCCCTACTGATTTCATGTCATTCTGGTCATGAAGAGCCAGTTGATGATGAAGAATGGCCTAGAAGACTGGTCTGGACTGGAGTATCCTCTGTGTCCAGCGTCCAACACAAACTTTTTTCCTGTACAGACAGGGTAAAGGTAACAAGTCTCTCTCCAGTGTAAACAATCTGGAGACAAGTTGAGGGATTTATTGAGTGCCTGCTACATTTTTTGGTACCCCTTCAGAGAAAAATCCTCAATCTTGAAATAATAATGAAAACACATTGTTTATGTGAGTGGAGTGTCCTTACATAGTATGCATACAGTACATACCTGGAACTCAGTCTACCTAAATATTACATCATTTTTTTAAAGTCTATCTAACACGATGAGACAATGAGTATGTGTTATATTGTATTTCAACTTGGACTCTTCACAGTGATATTAAGCTTCAGTGAGGATTCCAAGTATCACAGAAAAGTGGTTCCAAAGGGCCAATGTCTCTCATCGAGCACATTGTGGATGGTTAATGGGATGTGTAAGCTCCCATGGCTATTCCAATGACATCTCTGGGTTTGTGTACTTTGCAGTGTGCCCACTATATTGAGCATATACTGTATGTATCTTTGACCACAGAGGATACGTATTTTTTTTGTGTGCATTTTGTCAAAAATGACTACATGTAACATGACAAAGGCTACCAGAATACTTGTGAATAATTGTGCTAATGTATCTGCTTCTGTCTTAATGATGAATATAACATTTTATAGATACGGACATCATTGTTCTTCTAGTGCTGAAAGTGTCCATTTAAGTTGGACATTTCAGACCGTATTTAGCTCATGCAAACTGAACGTAAATGTTTTGAACAGTGTGAAAAAAGGACAGATTATTTAAGAACAATTGAGCACTCTGTTACAGTCAGTGATTTTATAGATATCAAAGACAAGCACTGCCCCTGTAACTAAAGCAACTGAATGGAGAGGGGTGACCGATAGAAGCCCTAATATTCTGCCAATGTTCACTGTAAACCCTCTCTAGGGCTTCTGCTGATGCTCACTGTCTACCATTTAGCCATGGGAAACACTCTTTATCAAACAACTGACCAGTTGAACAACACCCCTTGGCGACACTACTATTTATTTAGCTATTAGGTTCTGGTCCAGTGTCATTGTGATGCGACGTGAGCACTCCTGGCTATCACTAATCAGCCCAGAGCCGGAGGACAGAGAACTGGAGACATTGGAGGCCGGCGCCTCGAGCCTTGATCGTTTTCTGAGGCATGCCACTTGCCTGCCAACAAACTTCTCTCCCCATCAGCTCTTATTTCACTTTAATGTCAGAATACAATATTGAGCGAGGCGCCATAGGATTGTTTGTGTTCCGCTGCACCACTGCCATTTCTCTATTCAACTGCCTGCCTCTCATGGATTCTTCCTGTCTCTCTCGCTCTTTCACTCTCTTGTATAGTAAGTAACATATAAGAAATATGAACTAACACATTGTACAATGACTTGGCTTTTCATGTCATCTTTATAATTTGACATGTACCTTTTAAACAAGATCATGGATACTCTGAGTTATTTGATTAGGCTCAGTGCTTCGTTTCAGTGGGAGCAATGAAGCTCTGTTTTAAACGAGTGCAGCTGTTACCAAGGTGATGTCAATTACGTGCAGACATACTGTAGGAGAGGGATTTGTTGTCTTTGGGGATGAAGGGTGGAGGAGTTCTCAAAATCATGTTTTTAGCACAGCTTATTTGCAAAGCAAATCTGGAGCACTACATCAAAGTACGAAACAGATGAATGAACTACATTGTATTTCAGAGGACCTGATGAGTGGATAATCAGTTCAGTTAAGTGTTATAGTGCTGGGTTGGAGCAAAAGCCTGCTTACTGTAGGTCTCCAGGACAAGGTTTGGTGAATACTACTACAGTATATCTGAGTTGGGGTTTTTCAAAGAAGCAATGTTGCCCTCTAGTGAAAATAGTATTTAAAAGCATACTGTTCAACATTTCCTTTTAAGCTGGTTTACTGGCTGTCTGAAAGATTTGATGACATCAGAAAACTAAGGGTTAAGAACAGTGAGTGAACACACACACATTTTAAGCAGTCATCCATCTCCCCACACTATGCTCTTAAACTCTTTGCTCCCTATCCCTCGTTTCCATATTAATAGTATCAAGGGTGTTTGACTGACGCATGGCTAATGATTTCACAAACACAACTTAAAACATAACGCCTCCGAATGATTGTTTAGTGTACCAAACATTGCATGAAAACAAGCTAATGAAACAACATTGACATTTTACCACATTTATGATGGGCTTACTACAGCACACAAGCCTTTCCAAAAAAGCTTTCCAGTCGTGCAATAAGAAAGTGTTTATGATTCCTTCATTAGATGAGTTAAACTGCAATAAAAAAGCCAGAGAAGCTCGATAATAAATGCTCCGCTTCAGAAAAAAAACATTTTTCTTTGAGGTCTGACCATTTCCATCTTCAAATGGTTCTGGCAGTGTGCATTACAACTTCTGACTCTGCTGCCAAGGTCATATAGCCATCAACAAAATACAACTTAGCTGCTAAATGGTGTTGACTGCGTCGCAAATGGCACCCATAGCCCTTGGTCAAAAGTAGGAGTGCCCTATGGGCTCTGGTCAAAAGAAGTACACTATATAGGGTGTCGTTTGAGACACAGCCTGTGACTCAGTTTTTCCAGCCCAGTAGAAAGACGTAATGAGAGACGATCAGACCATGAACAGCACATTAGAACAGGTGTCGTCGGGACTGATCACGATTTACAAGCCGTTTGCATTTGGCGTAACCCAACCCGGGACAGGCCAGGGGCCCCGAACCGGGCCTGTATCAATGTGTTGTTTCAAAGCTACCCATAAATAACTGTCTTTGTATGCCTATCAATCACAAATGTACATTGTTTGAATCACTCTTTAAAAAGTCTGTCACAAATGACAGCTCCAATAAGCCCCCTATGGTGAACGATGCTTGTAGAATCATGATTCTGTCAAGTTTTTAGTTCGCTGCTAGATGGTCCTGCATTACTGAATCAAATTGTTTATAATTTTTGTCATTTTTTGTTGGGGGGGGGTTACAGGTCCATTATCCATTTACATTTTTAAGTTTATGAAACATGTACCCATAGGGTGCCAAAAAAGGGGAAAAAAATATAAAACAGTAAGAAATACATACAGAGTTTAAGTAATAATACATTCAGTAGAAAAAGGAAAAGAAAACACAAAAGAAGTGTTAATATGAAATGAAGAAGCGCATAATGAAATGAAGTGATCAGTAGATTTTAGGGGAAATTGTTATTTCCTTTGATTGATCAATTGCCTGGTCCAGGGGTTCCATGGATAATAAAAATAGCAAAGGCGAAATTGGATCACCTTGTCTGCTGCTTCCAGTGATTCTGAATAGAGCAGAGCAGATATTGCCTGTTATAATTATGGCTGATTCAGTCTTAGTACTGAATGAGCTAAAAAGACCTGAGTCAGTAAAAAAGAGATGAACTTGGTTGCGGTGCGTGTGCGCGATGACGTCTGGTCGTAGTACATTTTTTTATGTGATTTCCTCATTCAATAGCATCGACTGTTCTGGGTTTTTAATAATATGTTTTTATCAATTAAATTAGACTAGTAATGTCATTTTTTACGACATAGCCTAGGCATTTACAATCTATCTAGCACCCAATCCGTCTTTTGCCCCTTTTTGCATTGGTCTCAATCTTATGTAAAAACATGCAGAATTCCTGGGCACTGGCACATTTAATTCCCAGTGTGTCCCATGGCCATGCCAATGTCAAAAGTGAGTCTGGAGTGGAATGTGTTAGTGTGACCACTGCATGGGGAGTATTGGCAGGCCATTGAAAGTTCAGACCCAACCTCATAATTTACTCTCCATTAGCTACAAACTGAGACAGAGTCCTCCTCACGTTTCTGGAGAGTAGAGAGGAGAGGGACTCACAAATAAGTGGGTCGTCATCGGATACAAGGGGAACGGGCCCGGCTTGGGAAACAGAATAGCCACACGTAGCCATCTGGGAGAATCGGTCTCTTAGAAGAAAAAGAAGTTGCTTGACCTTTGCAAAAAAGCAAGGGAGTAAAAGGAACAACACCTTAGATTCTGTTGCCGCCAATTCCCTGTGATGGTGCCATGGCACACGTGACTGTCACAGTCCAAATCCCCTATACCCCTTTATCCATTAGTGGTAAGTACTGAGGGGCACTCAAAGCTGTTTTAATCAGGGGAGGGGGGGGGGGCATAAAGGAATTCTTTGTCAGTGAGGAACTAAGACAGGAATGCAAGAGAATGGGGAGGCAAGGTGACAAGGAGACAAAGAGGAATCAGTACAGATGATGGAGAGATATGACAATGGAAAGATGACTAATAACTGAAGGACAGCAGATTCTACACTAACTCAATTCATCTATATACTGTATTTCATTGCACAGTATCTGCACAGCAGGGTACAATGAATCCCAGCTAACCATTCTTAACTTTTGTTCTAGACTGTAGGCTACCTTTTAAGATACCCTCCTCATGTTTTTATATGAAGAACATTTCACAAATGCATGCCTCAAGTTTCCCCTTGTTAACACACACACACCAATTTATACTTTGTATAGTCTAAAGGGTCATACTGTACTCTCCCCCTTTTCCGTTGTATGTATAATGTCCTACTATGACATTCCCTGTCATCTACATTCATCCCGATCTCCACATGTTGTTATATTTTACACAGTTGTCCGCTCTGTCCTGACTCAACCAGCCTCAGGTACTGTATCAATTTCCATGACCTTGGTAGGAAGCTATCTCTGCAGGGGAATCTCAGTATAACTGTACTGCCATTGTTCCTAACGGACCTTCACATGTTTTACTGTGGTCGTTTCTGGTTACCCCACCCTCTCTTAGTCACCCTGTTACAGTAAAACTTCCCTAGGCACTCTGAGGTGAGAGAGCTCCCTTTTGAGGGGATAGAAAATGCCCCTCTTGGCATCCTTTACCTGCTACGCCGGCTTAAAATGCTGTATTTGGCTTGTTTTTGGTTGGACAGAATATATAGTATCTTGTTTAGTTTACTTAAAATTACATAAATTGATCCGACATTTTGATTGACCCCAGGTCAGGAAAGTACACCTTTTGGATGAATCCCAGGGCACCACTAACTGCAAATCAGTTAGTTGGCTTCGGCTTGTTCAGCTCAAACCTCAGCAACACTCCTCTTCTACCTGAAAGATAGAAAGCTTCAGGTAACCCTATAATCCTCTGTGGTGAAGCACTTTTCTTTGAGAAACAGAGGCAAGGGTGTATGTGAGAGAGTTAGAAGAAGGGAGAAGGAAGTGACCCCCCCCCCCCCCCCCCCCAGCTGCAAAGAGAGACCAGAAGCTAGCGACCCCTAGCTAGTGGCCCCTCATTACCTATGGGTAAATCTGTGGCCCCCCGGAAAGAAGACACCACTCGACATTTACCGGCAGCCATCTGAGAGTACGGGAAAGAAGAAAGCCAAAACATGCATTGGCTAAGCTAAGCCTCCCCACCTCCCCTCCACCCTTACCCACCTACAGTACACATCACAATACAAGCAGTATACTGAGGGGACAGGTAAATAATCTCAGCGGGGGAAATAAAAGGCCACCTTCCTGAATAATGCGTCACACAGCGGTAGGTGCCCCCTCTATATAGGTTACCATTGCAGTCTGTTGTGGTTGTTTGGTTCTGCTGCTGCTGACTACTGGATGTGTTTCATGGCAGAGCAACAAACAAACAGAGAAACAGGACAACAGAGAGACAGAGATTCATTCATCCATCATGCAAGTCCTTTCCAGTCTGGCGTTGGTTCTGAAGAACATTTGGACACTCTCCTTCCTCCGGGACCTTCTGTGTGAATTTGTGGGCACTGCCCTCTTCCTCTTCGCCAGTCTGGCCTCGGTGGTGCTACGGCCCCAGCTTCCAGCCTGGGATGGTAGCCTCTCCAGTCCCACCAGTGATCATCATCTCCATGCCTTGTCCTTCGAGTCAGACCCATCCTCTCTCTCGGACACCCAGCCCCTCTCAGAGTGCCACCCTGACCCCCTGCATGTGGCCCTGGCGTTTGGGACCTCTGTGGCTGTGGTATCTGTGTGCCTGGGTCCTGCTACCTCTGGAGGAGGGGTCCACCTGAACCCGGCTGTGACCCTGGCTCTGGCTGCAGGACTGAGGGTGAGCCCCTGGAGAGCTGTCCTCTACGTGGGGGCACAGCTCCTCGGTGCACTCTGTGCCTGTGCCCTCCTCATGGGAATGGTGCCTGCCCCGCTCAGAGGGCATTTGGGGCTGAACGAGGTGAGTCACGTCTGATTCATTTTTATTTGATTCTAGGTTGTAGTGAAGTATTGTTTTTCTGTAGTATTATAGCTTCCGAAAATACATTATTAGAAATGTTTTGCCAAAAACGTCTTTGAATTTTTGTATGGGCTTAATTGATTATGGGTGTTGTAAACATTATCTATAAAATGTTTATTTTTCCAGGTAGCCTTGGGTGTCCACCCATGCCAAGCCTTCTCAGTGGAGACAGCCATCACCTTTCAGCTGGTAGTCTGTGTCCTCACTACGTCTCGACCCAAATCAGCCTTCCACCTCCTGGGTCCTGTAGTGGTTGGCTTGTCTGTCACTTTGGGAAATCTAGTAGCGGTAAGGAAGATGACAGATCCTATTTATGTTAGTTTAAATTCTGTCTGACCACAATAGAGTTTCTATGGGTGATTTGATGGATTTTGTCAATTAAAACATTTTGTAGATCTTTACATTTGTCCTATGTCTTATCTTTTGATTTCATGCCCCCCTTCCTCTCTTATTATCCCTCTCTCTCTTTACCTTCTACCTCTGACCAGATTGGGTACACTGGCTGTGGGATGAATCCTGCTAGGTCTTTTGGTCCAGCTGTGGTCACTTTAAAATTTCATAACCATTGGGTGAGTCTGGCCAAACACAAGTTGACTATCTCTCATTGTGCTCCATGAAAATTACAAAAGTATATTGACGCTATTTACTAACATCACACCACAGTGCACACATACAAATCTACTTACAAAAAAAGTATCTCTCTCCTCTGCAGGTGTATTGGGTGGGGCCGTGTGTGGGGGCGGTACTTGCTGGCCTACTACATGACCTGGTGCTCCACCCACGTTGGGGTTGCCCTGGCGACTGGTTGGCTGAGTTTAAGGAACTGTTTCCCAAGGATCCACTTAAACAGCCCACCATCTTGGAACACACAGTGGAGTAGAGATGGAGGCAGTTCTCTTACCATTCTCTGACCATTGATCAAAGGTGACCACACACCATTCTCTGATATCTGACCACTCGCCACTGGTGTACACAAGTGGCCGTGCTAGCTGGGTCCATCGTTGAGTACCACTGAATGAAGAAACTCAAAATGTGTACACATCTACAGTATTCATGCACATCTACAATGTAGCTATGATAATATACTCTGCTGTATTCTCTGGGAGACTGCTCTCTCCTCTCTTTTCCTGACTGTACTGGCTAGTTTCCTTTCTGGCTAGTTCTGCGATAGAACTGAACAAAGCACTAATCCACCATCTCAGGTTCTTCACAATCATGTTGTTTGTCAGCTTGACTTCATTTTGTGCATCTTTGTACCTCTCCGAGGTGTTGAACCATCTGTAGAAGCAGATAATTTATATTCAGACCAAAGCCTAGACATTTTAATGAGTGTCCAAGGGGATTTCATTCAGGTCAGTTAAAGTACGGGTACAGTTCTTCAACCAGCTGTGTAATCATTCACAATATGGGACAGATCACTATGATATGTGTTTTTATATACCACAATCATGGGGTTTGTCCTGTTATACATAATTCAATGACAGCTGTATGACTCAGTAAAATGTTCTTTATTATAGAATTAATTCCACATTTGTTTTTCACTAAATTGAAACAGAGCATTATGTATTTCATGTCCTCTGTGCAAGAGTTTATTAAAGATGAAAACACCAAACTTATGAGTCATCCTACTGTGTGTACAGGGGAGGGGAGTGTAAAGTGAGTGTGAAGCTACAGGAGTCATTTTGTGTCAGGTCCACTTACATTTTCCCATCTGTTTCCATTGTCATGCCCTGGGGAGGACTCATCTGGGAAGGAAGGGATTGGGTTTAATCTCTCAAACCCAGCAACCCCGCCCTGTGTGTGTCTGTATATGTGTCTGTGTGTGTCTCTGTCTGTCTGTCTCCCTCTCTCTCTCTCTCTCTCTTAACTGAGAGAAAAAAATTGAAAAAATAGTATTTGGATCCACATCACGATAGTTTTATACCTTGGTTATGCACGCTCTTGAATCGTGTACTTAATACAATGTTTTTTGGTTTTTTTCATTTATGTGCTATGAAAGACATTGTTGACAAGTTAATATAACACTATAAATATATGTGCCAATGTGTGTGAGAGCTGCAGTTCTGTTCTGACAGACTCACATCTCTTCACTTCATTGCGCAAAATATTCTCTGCAAAGTCCTATCTGCAGGAAACAGAGTTTCCATATTTGGTGGCATACACTCCACTCACCACAATGCTATGAGAGCTCCAAATACATTTCGTTCAGCAAGAAAGAAATCCTTAAAGAACTCTGCACTATCTATGACAGCCCTCTCGATGTGACTGTGTAAGTTCCCTGCCTTGCGGAAACAACTGAAGATGATAAGAATTACTCACATAGGAAGAACACATTTGGTAAGAAATTTGGATTACAGTTTCACTTGCAGTGAGGGAGCCTTCCTTTTAGGTGAAGGAGTTGACGTAGAGACAAAAGCGGTATAGCTGAAAAAGATGGAGGAACACCGGATTCATATGATAATACAAATGATGGGTCTCCTGCTATTTGCTCTCCCACATTACTCTGACACCTTAAATCTAAACCTGGTTAACTTCACAGAATTCTCTGGCCCTGAGGGAAGCTTCTTTGGCTTCTCTGCAGATTTCTATCAGTTTAGCAACAACACGTGAGTATTGCAATGTACTATTTGGTAAGTTTTGGCTATGCTTCATTCAGTAGGGTTTGCATAGTTTTTATGGTATCTGTAAACTACACTATATATACAAAAGTATGTGGACACCCCTTCAAATTAGTGGATTCGGCTATTTCAGCCACACCCGTTGTTGACAGGTGTATAAAATCGAGCACACCGCCATGCAATCTCCATAGACAAATATTAGCAGTAGAATGGCCAACTGAAAAGCTCAGTGACTTTCAACGTGGCACTGTCATAGGATGCCACCTTTCCAACAAGTCAGTTTGTCAAACTTCCGCCCTCCTAGAGCTGCCCCGGTCAACTGTAAGGGCTGTTATTGTGAAGTGGAAACATCTAGGAGCAACGTCTCAGCCACGAAGTGCTAGGCCACACAACCTCACAGAACGGGACCGGCGAGTGCTGAAACGCGTAGTGCGTAGAAATTGTCTGTCAGCAGTTGCAACAATCACTACCGAGTTCCAAACTGCCTCTGGAAGCAACGTCAGCTCAATAACTGTTCGTCGGGAGCTTCATGAAATGGGTTTCCACTGCCGACCAGCCACACACAAGCCTAAAATCACCATGAGGAATGCCAAGCGTCTGCTGGAGTGGTGCAAAGTTGGCCGCCATTGGACTCTGGAGCAGCGGAAACGTGTTCTCTGGAGTGATGAATCACGCTTCACCATCTGGCAGTCCGACAGACGAATCTGGGTTTGGCGGACGCCAGGAGAACGCTACCTGCACCAATGCATTGTGCCAACTGTAAAGTTTGGTGGATGAGGAATAATGGTCTGGGGCTGTTTTTCGTGGTTTGAGTTAGGCACCTTAGTTCCAGTGAAGGGAAATCTTAATGCTACAGCATACAATAACATTCTAGATGATTCTGTGCTTCCAACATTGTGGCAACAGTTTGGGGAAGGCCCTTTCCTGTTTCAGCATGACAATGCCCCCGTGCACAAAGTGAGGTCCATACAGAAATGGTTTGTCAAGATCGGTGATGAAGAACTTGACTGACCTGCACAGAGCCCTGACCTCAACCCCATAGAACACCTTTGGGATGAATTGGAACGCCGACTGCGAGCCAGGCCTAATCGCCCAACAACAGTGCCCAACCTCACTAATGTTCTTGTGGATGAATGGAAGCAAGTCCCCGCAGCAATGTTCCAACATCTAGTGGAAAGCTTTCCTCTTAAGGATCTGACCGTTTTTTTCAATTTTCGCCTAAAATGACATAACCAAATCTAACTGCCTGTAGCTCCATTTGAAAGGAAACACTTTGAAGTTTGTGGAAATGTGAAATGAATGTAGGAGAATATAACACATTAGATCTGGTAAAAGATAATACAAACTAAAATACATGCTTTTTTGGTTTTTTTTTGTTCCATCATCTTTGAAATGCAAGAGAAAGGCCATAATATAATATTGCAGTTTAGGCGCAATTTAGATTTTGGCCACTAGATGGCAGCAGTGTGTGTGCAAAGTTTCAGATTGATCCAGTGAAGTATTGCAATACTGGACTATTTTGTATCAAGTCTGCCCAAATGTGCCGAATTGGTCAATTGATACATTTTCAAGTACACAACTATAGAGAACATACAAAAATGATATGGTAAAACAAAACGTAAATTTACACACTCCCAGGAATGTCATACATGATGGATAATTAGCTTATACACTAACTTTCACACATCTAGATGGCTGGGCGGGGTGGGTGTGGAGCCAGAGACAGCAGGGGTTCAAACTGTAGAACTCAGTTCCTACATTTGAATATAAAAATGGATTTGATCAAACAAAACTATGCTACATTTTATCTCTGGGACCCTTAGGATGACAAATCAGAGCAAGATTACTGAATGTAAGTACACTATTTACCTTCAGAGGTGAATGTATCAAACCAGTTGCCGTGATACGTTTTTTGTTGTTGTGCACTCTCCTCAAACAATAGCATGGTATTTTTTCACTGTAATAGCTACTGTAAATTGGACAGTGCAGTTAGATTAACAAGAATTTAAGCTTTCTGCCCAAAGAAGACATGTCTATGTCCTGGAAAGTTTGCTGTTACTTACAACATTCATGCTAATCACATTAGCACATTTTAGCTCAACTGTCCCGTATACGGGACACCGATCCCGTAGAGGTTAATGCCCATGATTTTGGAATGAGATGTTTGACGAGTAGCTGTCCACATACTTTGGGTCATGTAGTGTATATGCTGGTATTACTCTTACATTAAATTAGGTAAGTTATGTGGTGTTTGAATGGCTTTTCATCAGATGCTTGTCTGAAATCCCAGAGGTTATTTTAACCCTATTTTTTTCTGTCCCACAGCATCAGTGTTGTGGTTGGGGCCCCCAGAGCCAACACAAGTCAGCCAGGAGTCACTGAGGCGGGGGCTGTGTATCTCTGTCCCTGGGCACAGACAGGAGGCGCCTGTACTACCATGACCTTTGACACAAAAGGTAAACATTTACGTATCAACAGTCAAATTCATGCATTTCTCTATTTTTTACTGATGCTGTAGCATACTGTAGATCAGTAAGTACAATACAAGTCAAAAGTTTGGACACACCTACTCATTCAAGGGTTTTTCTTTATTTGTACTATTTTCTACATTGTAGAATAATAGTGAAGACATCAAAACTATGAAATAACACATATGGAATCACGTAGTAACCAAAAAGTGTTAAATAAATCAAAATATATTTGAGATTCTTCAAAGTAGCCACCCTTTGCCTTGATGACAGCTTTGCACACTCTTGGCATTCTCTCAACCAGCTTCACCTGGAATGCTTTTCTAACAGTCTTGAAGGAGTTCCCACATATGCTGAGCTGTGTTGGATCATTGTCCTGTTGAAAAACAAATGATAGTCCCACTAAGCGCAAACCAGATGGGATGGCTTATCACTGCAGAATGCTGTGGTAGCCATGCTGGTGCCTTGAATTCTAAATAAATCACAGACAGTGTCACCAGCAAAGCACCCCCACACCATCACACCTCCTCCAGGCTTCACGGTGGGAACCACACATGCAGAGATCATCCGTTCACCTACTCTGCGTCTCACAAAGACACGGGGGTTGAAACCAAAAATCTCATATTTGGAATCAGACCAAAGGACAGATTTCCACCAGTCAAATGTCCATTGCTCATGTTTATTGGCACAAGCAAATATCTTCTTATTATTGGTGTCCTTTAGTAGTGGTTTGTTTGCAGCAATTCGACCATGAAGGCCTGATTCACGGAGTCTACTCTGCACAGTTGCTGCTGAGATGTGTCTGTTACTTTAACTCTGTGAAGCATTTATTTGGGCTGCAATCTGAAGTGCAGTTAACTCTAATGAACTTAACCTCTGCAGCAGAGGTGACACTGGGTCTTCCTTTCCTGTGGCGGTCCTCATGACAGCCAGTTTCATCATAGTGCTTGATGGTTTTTGTGACTGTACTTGAAAAAACTTTGAAAGTTCTTGATTTTTTCCAGATTGACTGACCTTCATGTCTTAAAGTAATGATGAACTGTCATTTCTCTTTGCTTATTCGAGCTGTTCTTGCCATAATATGGACTTGGTCTTTTACCAAATAGGGCTATCTTCTGTATAACCCCCCTACCTTGTCACAACACAAGTGATTGGCTCAAACGCAGTAAGAATGAAATAAATTCCACAAATTAACTTTTAAGGAGGCACACCTGTTAATTGAAATGCATTCCAGGTGACTACTTCATGAAGCTGGTTGAGAGAATGCCAAGAGTGTGCAAAGCTGTCATCAAGGCAAAGGGTGGCTACTTTGAAGAATCTCAAATATATTTTGATTTATTTAACACTTTTTGGTTACTACGTGATTCCATATGTGTTATTTCATAGTTTTGATGTCTTCACTATTATTCTACAATGTAGAAAATAGTAAAAATAAAGAAAAACCCTGGAATGAGTAGGTGTGTCCAAACTTTTGAATGGTACTGTAAGTAAAGTAGGTATTTATTTATTCTGGGCTCAATTACAAAAAAGGTTGACAAACTGAGCTGTCTGATGTAAATACAGGTGATGAGGTTTATCCTCACCAGAACTTAGGGATAAGGTCTTCAAAGTCCCACCAGTGGTTTGGAGCTACTGTGCGATCCTCCGGAAACTACATTGTGGTGAGTTTTTCCAGCCATTGTGGCACAATACTCTTCCCACTCTCTCTGACTCTTTGAATTCTCATAAACCAGTCACTCATTGTGTTGTGAGTCTGAAGGCCGCTGTATACAGTCACTGTGCAGTATAGAATGCATCAGATATCGATCCTCTAAATCTTTTACACATCCCCTCTCCCTCCCTCGATTTATTTTATTTCCTCTCCCACTGTCATTCTCCCTTTATCATTATGTTTCTACCAACCACTGACCCCCTCTCTCTTTCGACCATTGTTATGTTTGTATGCCTCTGCTCATTCTCTAAATCCCTTTGTTTTACCCTTCTATTTATCTCTATATCACTTTCCTTCTCCCCCACTTTCTCTTTCTCTCTCTCCTCCCGTCTCTCTCTCCCTCCCTCACCCTGCGCCAGGCCTGTGCCCCCCTGTTCCACTGGAACGTGATAGACGTGGGTAAACGTGACGAGGCCCAGAACACTCCAGTGGGGAACTGCCTAGTGTTGAACACACTGACGGGGAAAACGGTTGACTTCTCCCCCTGCAAAGAAGTCATGACGGAGAAGGTTTACAAAGCCCTGAAGTACAGTAAGAGATATTAGTCATGCCATTAGTACCTGTACAGTACAGTACTTTTGTCCACTAAAAACTTAAAGGCTGCATTTATGCATTCAGCCCAATTTTGATCTTTTACCACTAATTGTTATTTTGACCAATCAGATTGGGCAAAAGATCAGATTTGGGCTGCCTGTGTTAACGCAGCCAAACAAGCATCCAGTCAGAACCGTGGTGGTAATTTAGTATTATTCTCACTGCTATGCCTCAAAACGACTAGGGCATTCCTTCTTAAAATAGCTGACTTCATGTTCACAAGTTTGCCTGCTGGTCTTTCTTTCTACTCTGCGTGTTTTCATCTTTAATCCTAATCTTGATTCTCAGATAACGACAGACGATACTGTGAAGTGGGATTTAGCTCCGACATAACAAAGGTGCCCACACTCCAAACTTTTTCTTTTTGATTCATATAATGTTATATATTGCACAGTAATGTAGCAGAATAGATCAGTAATGGTTAGATCCACATAGTTTATGATATTTTAAGGTAGTAATTACACCAACAGTGTTATGATACCATCTATAACAATAATTTGATTTGTTTCTTGCTGTACTATTCTAGGAGGGAAGACTCCTTATTGGTGCCCCTGGAGGCTACTACTTTCAAGGTAACATGTGTCATCTGGTGTTCGGAGTGTGTTAACAAACTTATTAGCCTGGTTAAACCAGATTGAACCATTCACTGCGGTAAAACAGTGATGAGTGCAGCGTTCAGTCTGGTTTAACCAGGCTACAACATGGTGTCTTCCATAATTGCATTCATCAACACTCCTAGGTAGAATGTGTACATTAATAGCCCTGTTCTTAGGATGTCTCTGGGAAGATAATGGTTGATGATGACTGAGTATGATGAATTATCATGTTACTAGTCTCGGAAATCCCAGACCTAGAGCAACAGCATGTCAGAACATTGTGTGGGAGGCAACCCGTCTGCTTTATTTTACTAATATCACTGTGGAATATTATGAAATAAATACGTATAAACATTACTAAAGTGTCTTCCCCAAATGCTGATTGCGGTGCTTAACCTTTCTGTTGCAGGTCAGATCATCAGTGCAGGACTGCTTGACATTGTCAACAGTGCCAAGAGACAGAATGCCAAACCTTATGTGACAGGACAAACCCATTCCCCTGAGACTGGTGGATACGATCGTTACCATGGTAAGAGGGTTACACTCAAGACTTGTGGTCTAAAGCAATTGTTTTCAAGCCTCTTCTCAGAGACGCCCAGATGTTTCACTATTTTGTTGTAGCCCTGAACTAGCAAACCAAATTCACCTAATCAAGGGCTTGATGATTAGTTGACAAGCTGAATCAGGTGTGCTACCCCGAGAAGATGTTTGAGAACCACTGGCCTAAAATATTCAGTCCAATGATATTCAGAGACATTCTCATTAGTTCAATAAACCAGAAAGGTTGATGCGTTACACTGGTTCGCCAACAGGGTATTCTGTGGCCACTGGCGAGTTCACTGGAGACTCAATACCAGGTGAGAAAGTTTCCGTCAAAAGTGTCCACACAACCAGATAATTACTAGCCTGGCTCAGTTTGTACTATCATTCCAACTCATTGTCATGCCAAGCATTTGTTCATGTTTGGCATGACATGGAATGGCAAGGAGTGGAATGTTAGCACATGGCACAGACTGGTGCCCAGGCTAGAGAATAACTTCCTACACTTTATGTGCCTGGTAGTGATAGTGACAGCTGCACAAACCTTCAAACATTTGTCGGTAAGATACAAAAGGTTGAAACATTTCTCAATAATTAATGATTGTGTTTTAAATCCAGTACAAGTATTTATTTTCTGTTTCAGATTATGTGGTTGGGGTGCCTAATGACCGCAACACAGCAGGAACAGTAAGGGCTCCCGATGGCGTTATGATAATTTACTTTTCATTTATTAGAGAGTGATCTAAGCTAATGTTTTGGTTTCTATCCAGGTCAAAATCTATAATGGAAATGCAATTAACTTTTTGGGAGTGAAACACACATTCTTAGGCTCTCAGGTGAGACCATACTTACATAACTTACATCATACTTTATTTTGATTAACTTGTTTACAGGAGAGTGATGAAGAAGTGATCACTATGTGACATCATGTCTATACAGATAGGCCTATGTGTTGATATCTGAGTGATGAGCGATGTAATCCACTCAAAACCACATGCATCTTTTATCTTGCAGGTGGCCTCTTACTTTGGCCACAGCGTTGCAGTGACTGATATTAACAATGATGGGTAAGTAAGTCAGAACTCTCTTACTTACTTTTTTTTGTCCTTGATCATTGAAGTATCAAACATGAATTTACCACCTGATAACATCTAAGCCACTGGTCGCTGGTTTGCTGTCTTGAGGAACCATGAAAAAGAGCTCAAATATCCAGCCGTTCTTGCTCTGTCTACTACAGACGAGATGACATACTAATCGGGGCGCCGCTCTTCATGGAGCGTGTGTCGGGCCAGCAGTTACAGGAGGTGGGCCAGGTGAGTGAACACCTGATGAGCCCTGGGTGGTCGAAATGTTATCAAATAAATCTATCACATGGGAGCAGAGTGCGCAGTCTCCATTCACCTTTTATTAACCATTTTGTTTATACCCAGCACCTGCTCCGAGACAATGGATGTGTGTAATCCTTTCCCAGGTGAGTGTGTACCTGCAGAGAGAGCGCTCCACCTTCCATTCCAAGCCAGACCAGAAGCTGACAGGTTCCCACGTGTACGGACGCTTTGGCAGCACCATCGCCCCCCTCGGTGACCTGGACAAGGACGGTTTTAACGGTGAGGCTCTGATATACAGTAATTTGACTTTTAGTACATGTATCTGCCCTTCTACTATAGTAACTGCCTCAGGGGCAGCAGAATCAGTAGTATCTGGTTGTCTGGGTAACTTAACCAAGGAATATTATTAAATGTGAAAATATCCTCCGCAAAACACTTTGTTTCTGATTGGAGATTAATCTTTGATTTCATGATTCCCTCTTGAAATGCTCGATTTTCTAATGGTGGGGAATGGTTTTGTCATAGCAGTCTTTCGATGCACTCTGTCCATGGATTACTCATCACTATAAAGCGTTTCTCTCTCTCTCCCTCTCCCTCTCTCTCTCAGATGTTGCTGTGGGAGCCCCATCCTCAGGCGTTGAAGGGAGGGTTTTCATCTACATGGGAACTAGCAATGGACTGTCTCCCCAGTATACCCAAGTCATTGAGAGTCCCTTCCAGTCCCTAGGCTCTCCAGCACAGTTTGGCTTCACCCTGAGAGGGGCCGTTGACATTGATTCAAATGGCTACCCAGGTTAGTCTGAAAACGAACTCTTCGGAAACTGTGGGCTTGCTTACCTTGATTTAGAAAATATGTGTATTTGATTATATTTCGGTTATACATGCGTTTTGACTTGAAGTAATTGATTCTAGCCCAAAAACAAGATTTGAGAAGTTATGGAACAACAAACCTTACTCCGCCAACAATTCCCAACAATCTCCTCAACAATGTCCCTACCTCTCTTGTCAAGCCACAGTGTCAATCCTGCCAAGACCACTTGGAGATGTCAAACTGTACGATCACTTGGAGGTCACGCTGTTCCCTTACGACTCCACTATCAGCCTCCACTATCAGCCTCTGACGCAGCCTTGTGCTTTTCGTTGTAGCTGACTACTACCCAAGGACATATTGCCACTGCTTAACAAAGGCCCCGTTCCTTTCAGTCCCAGTAAAAACGTCCTCTGACATGTTGTTTGTCTCCCGTCCCCCTGGAGGCGAAGGCACATTTCTCGGACACACAAGAGAAAAACAGAAAGGTCACTCATCCAGTGGAGTGGCTGACATTTGTCCGGGGAGAGCACTAAATGGAGATACATTTGGTGCCCTGGGGTCCCTTGGAGACTAGTGAGCTACTCTCAACACAGCAATGCTTTTTGATGTGCAACACCTCTGGCTTTTAAAGACACTCATGCAGGGACGGCTTGTTCAATAGGGCGATATGGGCGACGCACTGCCAAACGGGAAAAGGAAGGGATTTTTTTTCTAATCAATTATAAAAAATAAAAATAAAAAAAATATATTTTTTTTTTTTATAAATTTATAAAAAATTATATCACGGCAACAGCAGTTATCAGTGTTCACGTCTGATCTGACAGCCACTAAATGTCAAATCAGGCTAAAGTCGTGCTTCAAATGGCCCCGCCCGTTTTTTGGGCGATTTCAGTCAGGTTGAAAATCGCCCAGAAGTCTCTCATAGCCTGTCATGTAAAATCTATTTTTTTCACATTTCAAAGCTTTCAATACATTCTCTATGGGTGTCTGTGGGCTTGCACTTACGCGCTTTCGTCATACATAACGTAACCACGAATGAACGTAACTAAGAAAAGACCAGGTAGCAGCCTCAATCAATTCACTACTACTATCAAAATGGCTAGGCTTCAGTCCAACTCGATTGTGTCTTTGAAAGAAGTTCCTTTTTGTCGGCGAACAAATGAAGATAAATTGGCAACGAAACAATTAGGACCTCCCAGACCAAATTTAATAATTCAACAGGTTTCTACTAAAGGCGGAAAGTCCTACACCCGAGGATTTTCCAAAAATTGGTACGAACGAAAAAAGACATTGCCACTCACTCAACTGGATGACGAGGGATACAGGCTAGCTGTCCGCCGCCACAACGATGAGGTTAGTGTTGATAATCACAAGTTTACTGGATGTGGATATGGTGTAATAAAGGCAGTTTATTCAGAGGTAAATATATCTGGAATCGCGTTCACGGACCCGTTCGTCAAACTCTTAGGGAGCTATAAATTAAGCATATCCATATCAGATAAGAGAAATTGCTGCAGCTACATATATTTTACATCCTGGCCCTACATAGTTCACTATTTGCATCACTTACCAAAATATTACATGTGGTCATATATGCTTGGAAAGTGGAGATGCCATAGAACGTCAAAAAAGTAAACATTGCTGGAGACACATTGTCGTTTTGGAGAAGACATCGCGTTTGCTAGCGAAGAGATTTGTTGTGGCAAATGAACTTGGCCTGGGAATTGCCAGGAACCTCACGATAAGATATATGCATCAGCATTGCGAGTCTCATGATTCTATACGTATTGCGATTCGATACTGTGATTTTATTGCGCACCATATGTCTGTTGCAGAGGGATCAGAAAGCCATGAGAACGAGTTTTGATCAGTCATGGAAATAAAAGTGCTGAAAACTAATTGGCTCCCAATGTGAAAAGATTGAGAACAAGCTATGAAGGAACAATAATGGTGTTTTGGTGCAGGTACAGCCAACTAGCGCTAAAATATTGCGATATTGTCAATACAGTATATCGTAAAGTATCACTATGTAACTCGATTTCTTTCACCCCAATCCCTCAAATTAACGGTAAATAACTGAATTGTTTGCCCCACATTTAGCTAAGATGATTAGCTAGCCAGCTAAAATGTTTTATTTAGTTAGCAGTCGCATCTACAATAGTTTACTGTCAATAACATGTCTCCAAAAATGACGTGGTGTCTCCAATTGTGTTGACATTTTACAATTGCAATGCGCACCCATGAGTATCCACTTTCTGTAGCTCAGCTGGTAGAGCATGGTGCTTGTAACGCCAAGGTAGTGGGTTCGATCCCCGGGACCACCCATACACAAAAATGTATGCACGCATGACTGTAAGTCGCTTTGGATAAAAGCGTCTGCTAAATGGCATATTATTATTATTATTATTATTATTATTATTATCTGAAGAGAGCCCCGAAACATTGTGTGCAGACATTTTATGCAATAAATGAAGTAGGTTCAATCTAGTAGTTCTGATCTTCTGATTGGTCCTGATGAGTTGGGCGAGGTCACCTCCAGGCTACTGTCACTGTTGCATTGGCTCTGAGTCGGGTTCTCTGTCTTCAAATGTTCAGCCTAAGAGAGGGGATTTTTGTGTGTGTGTGTGTGTGTGTTTAACAGTGATGATGTGTGTGTGTGTGTGTGTGTTTAACAGTGATGATGTGTGTGTGTGTGTGTTTGTGTGTGTGTGTGTCCTCAGAGCAAGAACTCGTGAGTTGGAAGAACTGAGAGGCCTATGGCGTGGGTGTTGTCCTTGGCCACCTGCTGACAAGGCTGACAAGATAGGACCCTTTTGTCCATTGTTATTGGATAGGAACAGAACTTATAACCAGCTCCTGACCTAAATAGATCTTAGCACAACATTTTACTCAACATATCATATTCCATATTCACTATAACAAATATATTTACTACGACATTAGCAAGAACCGCCACATCCTCAGCCGGCTAATCCAGTGTGTGAAGTTTTGCGGAGTGTTTGAGTTAGCTTTGCGAGGCAAAGATGAAACTGAGGGCTCCACCAACCCTGGTAAGCCAACACTTTTGAGATCAGTCAATAAATGCTTCTGGTATTGACTTATATGCTGCCCCTGTCTTCATGTTGTTGCTGGACATATCTTTTTTTTAAATGTGTGTAGGTCACCTAAATCATCAGAAAAATTGCCCCTCCTGAGAATTTTTTCAGGAGCCGCCACTGCACTCATGGCACTCTTTGTCTCTTGTCTCCCCAGTGAGGTCGTTACAGTTCAACTCTTTGGGACAAACTGGTCACTGTGAAAACGATTTCCTTTTTTTTTCAGCTGACCTCTTTCCCTGAAAATAGTTTTGTTTCTTAGGAGTCGCCGTGATATGAAAGCAGACGTCCTGGCTGTTAGCAAAGGGCAATCAATCCCATGGACTATTTTTGTGACGCTTTCATGAGAAAGTGCTATCGATCATGTATATCTTTTTTCAGAAGTTGTTTCATGACCCTATATTTCTTACGTTTCAAGGCTAGAAAAATAAGAGCTTGCAACTTGTTACTATGAATCTTTGTTGCCTCACAGATCTAATTGTTGGTGCATGGGGAGTCAATAAGATTGCTGTGTACAGGTAAAGTAGTGTGAGATAAACAAACAGTTTATATGTTACTTTAAATTAACTCGAGAAATGTTATCTATAGCAGGATTAACATTTGCATTCACAATGTACCCACAACGTCTGTTCAGTGGAATGAATGTCTATTAGTATTCTACAATGTCTATTTTTTCTCTGTTTGTGTGGGGTTGAACCAGGGCTCAAGCCGTGGTGATGGCCAAAACCCAACTCTCCCTCTACCCTGACTTCTTGAACCCAGATGTGAAGGAGTGTGAGCGCCCCACCACCAACGAGCCTGTGGCCTGGTAAAGATTCTCCTCATACCAGAGTATCATACCACTAGTGTGGGCATTAACCATAGCTGCGGGAAGCAGTTTGGGGGTTGGGGTGCTGCGTTGATTCTTATTATTTCATTATTGTATTTTTTTAAGGGTGGGGAGTGCTGAAAAAAGATTTGTGCCTGCACTACAGACGCTATATCGGTCCGCTAATAGCACTATTAACGGTCCAGTGCAATATTTTGTGAACAAATGTTTAAAAGTTGTATTAATATTATTTTTTATTCCGATTTTTTTAGGGGGTGCCGCAGCACCCTCAGCACCCCTACTTCCCGCCGCTATGGCATTAACCCAACTCACCTCTGCTGCAGGAATGTTTGTGTATTTTTGGCCAACTGGGAAGAACATTTCTGATGGACAAATGTTGGTGGGCATGGCAAGCATGCACATGTTGGCACTATGTAGAATTCCTGTAGTATCCTAAGTGCCGAACACATTATTGAGATGTGTGACATGCCTGGACAGTTCCTGGTTGTGTTAGACCAGTGGCGGCTCCTGAAAAAATTCTCAGGAGGGGCAATTTTTCTGATGATTTAGGTGACCTACACACATTTAAAAAAAAGATATGTCCAGCAACAACATGAAGACAGGGGCAGCATATAAGTCAATACCAGAAGCATTTATTGACTGATCTCAAAAGTGTTGGCTTACCAGGGTTGGTGGAGCCCTCAGTTTCATCTTTGCCTCGCAAAGCTAACTCAAACACTCCGCAAAACTTCACACACTGGATTAGCCGGCTGAGGATGTGGCGGTTCTTGCTAATGTCGTAGTAAATATATTTGTTATAGTGAATATGGAATATGATATGTTGAGTAAAATGTTGTGCTAAGATCTATTTAGGTCAGGAGCTGGTTATAAGTTCTGTTCCTATCCAATAACAATGGACAAAAGGGTCCTATCTTGTCAGCCTTGTCAGCAGGTGGCCAAGGACAACACCCACGCCATAGGCCTCTCAGTTCTTCCAACTCACGAGTTCTTGCTCTGAGGACACACACACACACACAAACACACACACACACACATCATCACTGTTAAACACACACACACACACACATCATCACTGTTAAACACACACACACACACACACATCATCACTGTTAAACACACACACACACACACACAAAAATCCCCTCTCTTAGGCTGAACATTTGAAGACAGAGAACCCGACTCAGAGCCAATGCAACAGTGACAGTAGCCTGGAGGTGACCTCGCCCAACTCATCAGGACCAATCAGAAGATCAGAACTACTAGATTGAACCTACTTCATTTATTGCATAAAATGTCTGCACACAATGTTTCGGGGCTCTCTTCAGATAATAATAATAATAATAATAATAATAATAATAATATGCCATTTAGCAGACGCTTTTATCCAAAGCGACTTACAGTCATGCGTGCATACATTTTTGTGTATGGGTGGTCCCGGGGATCGAACCCACTACCTTGGCGTTACAAGCACCATGCTCTACCAGCTGAGCTACAGAAAGTGGATACTCATGGGTGCGCATTGCAATTGTAAAATGTCAACACAATTGGAGACACCGCGTCATTTTTGGAGACATGTTATTGACAGTAAACTATTGTAGATGCGACTGCTAACTAAATAAAACATTTTAGCTGGCTAGCTAATCATCTTAGCTAAATGTGGGGCAAACAATTCAGTTATTTACCGTTAATTTGAGGGATTGGGGTGAAAGAAATCGAGTTACATAGTGATACTTTACGATATACTGTATTGACAATATCGCAATATTTTAGCGCTAGTTGGCTGTACCTGCACCAAAACACCATTATTGTTCCTTCATAGCTTGTTCTCAATCTTTTCACATTGGGAGCCAATTAGTTTTCAGCACTTTTATTTCCATGACTGATCAAAACTCGTTCTCATGGCTTTCTGATCCCTCTGCAACAGACATATGGTGCGCAATAAAATCACAGTATCGAATCGCAATACGTATAGAATCATGAGACTCGCAATGCTGATGCATATATCTTATCGTGAGGTTCCTGGCAATTCCCAGGCCAAGTTCATTTGCCACAACAAATCTCTTCGCTAGCAAACGCGATGTCTTCTCCAAAACGACAATGTGTCTCCAGCAATGTTTACTTTTTTGACGTTCTATGGCATCTCCACTTTCCAAGCATATATGACCACATGTAATATTTTGGTAAGTGATGCAAATAGTGAACTATGTAGGGCCAGGATGTAAAATATATGTAGCTGCAGCAATTTCTCTTATCTGATATGGATATGCTTAATTTATAGCTCCCTAAGAGTTTGACGAACGGGTCCGTGAACGCGATTCCAGATATATTTACCTCTGAATAAACTGCCTTTATTACACCATATCCACATCCAGTAAACTTGTGATTATCAACACTAACCTCATCGTTGTGGCGGCGGACAGCTAGCCTGTATCCCTCGTCATCCAGTTGAGTGAGTGGCAATGTCTTTTTTCGTTCGTACCAATTTTTGGAAAATCCTCGGGTGTAGGACTTTCCGCCTTTAGTAGAAACCTGTTGAATTATTAAATTTGGTCTGGGAGGTCCTAATTGTTTCGTTGCCAATTTATCTTCATTTGTTCGCCGACAAAAAGGAACTTCTTTCAAAGACACAATCGAGTTGGACTGAAGCCTAGCCATTTTGATAGTAGTAGTGAATTGATTGAGGCTGCTACCTGGTCTTTTCTTAGTTACGTTCATTCGTGGTTACGTTATGTATGACGAAAGCGCGTAAGTGCAAGCCCACAGACACCCATAGAGAATGTATTGAAAGCTTTGAAATGTGAAAAAAATAGATTTTACATGACAGGCTATGAGAGACTTCTGGGCGATTTTCAACCTGACTGAAATCGCCCAAAAAACGGGCGGGGCCATTTGAAGCACGACTTTAGCCTGATTTGACATTTAGTGGCTGTCAGATCAGACGTGAACACTGATAACTGCTGTTGCCGTGATATAATTTTTTATAAATTTATTTAAAAAAAATATAATTTTTTTTTATTTTTATTTTTTATAATTGATTAGAAAAAAAATCCCTTCCTTTTCCCGTTTGGCAGTGCGTCGCCCATATCGCCCTATTGAACAAGCCGTCCCTGTGTTAGACTGATCTTTCCCATGATGATGTGTGAATTTGTTCTTTTAAATTCAGAATGACATTATGACTGTCTCTCTCCTTACAGCTTCACAGTCATGATGTGCATTAGTGTGTCTGGCCACAGCATTCCACAGGAGATAGGTAGGAGATGCATACTGAAGTCATTGATTCCTGTTGAAACATACATATTCTCTTTGAGTTTGAGTTTTCTGTTTGTTCAAGATACTGTAAATCCACTCTTGTAGTTCTAGATGCAGAGCTTCAACTGGACAAGATGAAACAGCCAATGGCCAGGAGGACCCAGTTGCTGCAGACCAATCTGCCCCAAGAGTATTTCCAGCTAACCATTCAGAGAGATGTGGGAGTGGTCTGCAGGAACCAAACTGCTTACCTAAGGGTGGGTTGCTTTTGACAATTTAGCCAATTTATAGGCCTGTATTTTGTTTATAGAGTATTACAATGGTCAGTGCTCAAAACCTGAATGTTGCAGCATTGTTCTTACCAGGCTGATGCCTCCAAGTGGCCATTCACTGAAGTGACACTACAACAGGCTCCAATACTATTAGTAACCTCAGAAACATGTAGTGAACACTGCCATTGTCAGTGGCAACAGACAAACCTGAAAGGGGAGTAGATTGATATTGTCTTAACACAACATGATCCACTAAACTGCAGTAGATTTTTACTGAATTTAAATTGAATTAAGGGTAAATTGCATCAATGTCAGTACTGCATCCTGTCTCTCTTTCCAGCATGAGTCAGAGTTCAAGGACAAGCTGAGCCCCATCTTCATCTCCCTGAACTACAGCCTGTCCAACTCCAACTCCCAGGAGGCCTTGCTGCATGGCCAGAGAGCTGTGGTCACACAGGTGACATCACACATTATATTCTAAATGTATTAATACATTTTAGTTTGCAAAGGAATAACATTTTATAAGTGGTGATTACACAGTTGTAACTTATGAATTAGCCTACGTGTTTCTTTGTTTTGGTATACAAATGTGTCTATGTGTCTGTGTGTTGTACAGACCAGGATCATTCTGGACTGCGGAGAGGACAACATCTGTGTCCCTGACCTGAGGCTGACTGCTGAAGCGTGAGTGTCAAACTCCCCTGAGGTCCACATCACTTAGTAGTGTCATCTGTTTTCTTGGTCAATCTACATTTTCAAGACTTTTAACAAGTGAGATCTCATGGGATCAGTGTGCTGGAAAATAGGGTTACGTTATTTGTACTACGAACCATGCAGGTAACGGAATATCAGGGAAATGATTGTCTAGTTAGAGCATTTTATTCCTGTCTACTATACAACCCTTTACGCCTCTACCTTTGACCCATCCTCAGAGGTACCGACCGTCTTCTGATAGGGGATGACCACCCTGCCCTGTTGGTCATCACAGCGGAGAACAGAGGAGAGGGGGGCCTACGAGACCGAGCTGGAGATAATCCCACCAACCAACATACACTACCAGAGTATGGTGACTGATAGAGAGGTGACTGTCACTCTCCTGTTCATAATAAAAGGGAATTGTTAATAGAGTGATATCAACTGTCCCACGCACGTGACCTGCAGGAAAAACTCTGAGCCCAGAGTTTTGCTGGTCAGGTTACGTGGTCAGCATAACCTACTGGCTCTACGTAAAACACACTGTCTGCATCTGAAATGGCCACCCTATTCCCTATTTAGAGCACTACTTTTGACCAGAGCTTCATGGGCCCTGGTCAAAAATAGTGCACTATATAGTGAATAGGCTGTCTGAGTTTGCCATCTCTCCCAGGGCTTCAGCAGGTTGATCTGTGCTCAGAAGAAGGAGAACCAGACAGTGGTGGTGGTCTGTGAACTGGGGAACCCTATGAAGCAGGGCCAGAAGGTAACCACCATGTAATTATAGTAAAAGTAAATACCCTTGAACGTGCCTTGCATCTCCTGTTTCTGTAGCATGAGGCAGCTTGATGGACAGGACACTAATCTATCACAGGGCCTTAACCCCAATCTCCTTAATGCTGTCTGAGTGCCAAGCAGAGACTCATCGGGTTCCATTTTTACAGTCTGTAGTATAACTTGGCCGGGGATCGAACTCCCAACCTTCCAAACTCTGGCGGACACACTGAGTTGGCATAGAGTTACATCTAAAATAATAGTAATTCAATAGGATTTTCTGTGGTAACCACTAACCATAGCTAGTTGCTAGGGGAGAGGTGTGAATGTGTTACCGAGACATGTCACTGTGTGCTCTGGTTTCCTGTGAATGTGTGAAAGCATCAAGAAGGCTTCCGGTCGTTCTGGGTCTTCGCTGTCAACGGACGTGGATGACATGTGACTGTGTGTTTTACAATAGCTTTGTTGTCCTGTCAGTCTGAATGATACAGTACAGTATGTTCTTCTCTCTGTCTGTCGTAGCTCCAGGCCGGTCTGTTCTTCAGCGTGGGGAACCTGGAGGAGGTGGAGAGCCAAGTGTCATTCACATTACAGATCAAAAGGCTAGAACAACACTTTCGTCCCGATTTGTTGATTTTAATGCCCTCAATGCCCCCAAGGCATTGTTTTTATGGTTTTTATGTAACATTTGAATGTGAGAATCAAGATAATATTTAGTGTAGAGTGATCAACACAATGTAAGGCATATTTAGAGTCTCTGAGATACACATGGTTTACATGCTGGTTAATCCTGTCGTCTGTATTTTAGACATTCAAGGTGTCAGCTGAAGGTTCATGGCTTTTCTAATGAGACAAGGGAAATGTTCAACACTCATTCAGCTTCTCCGTTCCTTTATTATCTCTAGCAAGAACAGCCAGAACCCTGACAGTAACGTAGCCCATCTGAGGATTGATGTCAGCGCTGTGGCAGCTCTGGAGATGCGGGGGTGGGTGGGCCTTCCTTCATTCTCCTCCAATTATCATCAGAGCCATAAACTGTGCTGTTTTGTGCTACCATGGCAACGAGCACTCCTCCTGTGACCTTAGACACACTTGCTGTGTGACAATTCAGAGCTGCCTTGGCAGACTAGTAGCAGACTGACTATCTAATATCCAAAAGGGATTAGTGATGTTTGCCATTGGAAGATGTTGTCCTAATGCGAGCGTATTACAGTACAGTAACAGCATGGTTTCCTCTTGTCCTTGTAGTTGTTGGCTTTCCCAGGACACGTAGTTACTAATTATCACCAGGGCTATTTAACTATAAGACCGAAAGGTGCAAATTAAGCATCCTGAAGCAGTCTGATCCCTATGTCCCACTGAGATCAGTTAGAAACTAGGCAATATATTGGATCCCGGATCGGCTGTCTGTGCTGCCATGCATGACAACAACCATATAAGCATTGGCAAGACAGCAAAAAACAATCTGGGACCAGGCTAGTGTTATCAGTGTTGTCCTCAGTGTTTGGTCCACCCTTGTAGCCTGTTGTTTTTTGGACAGGGGCTCCTCTCCACCTGAGTGTGTCCTGCCCATTGCCAAGTGGGAAGAGAAGGAGCAGCCTGCTGACCTGGAGGAGGTTGGCCCACTAGTGGAACATGTCTATGAGGTAACCTTATTATGGCTTACTCAGGTTCACTCAGTGATTCACTCAGAAAAGAAACAATGCATTTAAGACATTTGTCTCTCTGGGGTTGGTGCAGTTTCAGGCCAAAATGCGTAACATCTATTTGAAGAGTCCATAAGGCCCTTATAGAGCATGTTTTGTATTCGTTATGTCATTTATACAAAGACAATGAGATCCAACTTAGTGAGTGAAACCTGAAAGCATGTGTTTTTGTGTTGAAACACTCAGTTGAGGAACCTGGGTCCGAGCACGGTCAACGCCAGGGTGGAGGTAGAGTTCCCCACCCGTCACCATGGAGACTTCCTGCTCTATGTGTTCGCCAACGCCTCTGAGGATTTCCTCACCTGCCACACTGACTCCCCTGACATCGACCCATACCAGGTGAGAGAGGTAGCCATGTTGTGGCCCTGCAGTGTGCCAGACAGCAAATCTTTCTATAGCGGGAAAAAATATGTTTTATTTAAAAGGAAATCACTATTTTATTTTATGTTTGCCTTAAATAGAAGCAAAACCACATGTTCTTATTCATTCTTTTTCATATGAAATTGGAGTACACTCTTCTGTTTTGGCAGTTGGTGAAGACTGGGAATGCTACTGTTGGTACAGTGTACAAGGTCAAACAGAATGAGGTGGCACGGCCGGAGACACAGCGCAAAGGGACCGTTCACGTGGTAAACAAGTTGTCGCCTCATAATGACATGCATCAGTGTACTTCTGACAGCAATACAATCAAACTGTCTTGTCTTTACTTGATGCTGTACAGTGGCTAGTACCACTTTGCTGCAATTTCAGTGACAACTTGCAATATTCTGTATATGCCACAAGAGGGGGATGTACAACAAAATATTGCATCTCTCAGGTGGATGGGGACATTCCATTGATGTGTTATGGGGGAAACAAGTTGACTCAGTTCCGGTGTGGTCCTCTCTCGATTTCTCCACAGAACTGCACCAGTGGAGATACCTGTCTGAAGGTTTGTGTGTGAGGCCACAGGTCTGGAGAGAGGCTGGAGCGCTGTGGTGAAGGTGATGTCCCGACTTGGGTACAGACTTTCCTGGGTGAGTGAGTGAGTGAGTGAGTGAGTGAGTGAGTGAGTGAGTGAGTGAGTGAGTGAGTGAGTTGAGTGAGTGAGTGAGTGAGTGAGTGAGTGAGTGAGTGAGTGAGTGAGTGAGTGAGTGAGTGAGTGCGTGAGTGAGTGAGTGAGTGAGTGAGTGAGTGAGGAGTGAGTGAAGTGAGTGAGTGAGTGAGTGAGAGAGAGAGAGAATCCAAAACTGAGATGTATGGGTAAACCACTTCTCCAATCTTTTGGCCCTATAACAAAGAACAAACAGAAAAAAAATATACATGATCAAATGGAAATCTTAGAATCAACTATTAAAGACTACCAATGAATGAACTACAGGACAAAATACAAACCCTCCAACCCAAAAGGCCTGTGGTGTTGATGGTATCCTCAATTAAACGATAAAATATACAGACCACAAATTCCAATTGGCTATACTTAAACTCTTTAAAACATTACATTTACATTTTAGTCATTTAGCAGACGCTCTTATCCAGAGCGACTTACAGAAGCAATTAGGGTTAAGTGCCTTGCTCAAGGGCACATCGACAGATTTTTCACCTAGTCGGCTCGGGATTAGAACCAGCGACCTTTCGGTTACTGGCACAACGCTCTTACCCACTAAGCTACCTGCCGCCCCCACATCATCCTTAGCTCTGGCATCTTCCCCAATACAGGACTGATCACCCCAATCCACAAAAGTGGAGACAACTTTGACACCAATAACTACCGTGGGATATGCGTCAACAGCAACCTTGGGAAAATCCTCTGCATTATCATTAACAGCAGACTAGTTAATTTCCTCAGTGAAAACAATGTACTGAGCAAATGTCCAAATTGGCTTTTTTACCAAATTACCATACGACAGACCATGTATTCACCCTGCACACCCTAATTGATAAACAAACAAACCAAAACAAAGGCAAAGTCTTCTCATGCGTTGTTGATTTCAAAAAAGCTTTTGACTCAACTTGGCATGAGGGTCTGCTATACAAATTGATGGGAAGTGGGGTTGGGGGAAAAACATAAGACATTATAAAGTCCATGTACACAAACAACAAGTGTGCGGTTAAAATTGGCAAAAAACACACACATTTCTTTACACAGGGCCATGGGGTGAGACAGGGATGGCAGTTTAAGCCCCACCCTCTTCAACATATATATCAATGAATTGGCGAGGGCACTAGAACAGTCTGCAGCACCCGGCCTCACCCTACTAGAATCTGAATTAAAATGTCTACTGTTTGCTGATGATCTGGTGCTTCTGTTACCAACCAAAGAGGGCCTACAGCAGCACCTAGGTCTTCTGCACAGATTCTGTCAGACATGGGCCCTGACAGTACATCTCAGTAAGACAAAAATAATGGTGTTCCAAAAAAGGTCCAGTTGCCAGGACCACAAATACAAATTGCATCTAGACACTGTTGCCCTAGAGCACACACAAACTATACATACCTCGGCCTAAACATCAGCGCCACAGGTAACTTCCACAAAGCTGTAAACGATCTGAGAGACAAGGCAAGAAGGGCCTTCTATGCCATCAAAAGGAACATAAAATTCGACATACCAATTAGGATCTGGCTAAAAATACTTGAATCAGTTATAGAACCCATTTCCCTTTATGGTTGTGAGGTCTGGGGTCCGCTCACCAACCAAGAATTCACAAAATGGGACAAACACCAAATTGAGACTCTGCATGCAGAATTCTGCAAAAATATCCACTGTGTACAACGAAAACCACAAAATAATGCATGCAGAGCAGAATTAGGCCGATACCAGTGAATTCCAAAATAGAAAAAAGGCGTTAAAAATTTTATAACGACTAAAAAAAAAGGTCCCAAAAAACCCTTCCAAACAAACCATTTTCCTACCGAGAGAAACTTGGAAAGAGTCCCCCCCCAGTAAATGGTCCTGGGCCCCGTTCACAAAAATCAAACAAAAACCCACAGAGCCCCAAGGGGCAACAAAACAACACAATTAAACCCCAAACCAAAACATGGAAAACAAAAAAAGACTACTTGACACTTGGAAAAATTTTAAAAAAAAAACTGAGAACTAGAAGCTATTTGGGCCCAAAAGGAGTAACAGTGGCGAATATCTGCCCCTTGACTTTCCCAAAACCTTTTGGAAAGCTTTGACTATGTTTCAACTCAGTGACAAGCCCTTTCTATTGAAAGGCCCCTGGCAGACCCGGCTTCAAAAGAAGACTATTGCACACTGCCACAAAATGAGGTGGAAACCTGAGCGCATTTATAACCTCCCGCCAAAAGTTGACCATTTAGAGAAACCCTATTTCCTTTAGATTACACGATCCACAAAGAATCGAAAACAAAACCCTTTTATAAAATCCCTTATTACTGGGTGAAACCCCAGTGGCCTCCCCTCCGCAATATTGGACCTTTGCCCAAGGGGCAAACCGTGAAAAACAAAAACCCCTGTAAAAAACCCCCCCAAATTTTTGTTTATTTTTTTCCCATTTTTCTTTAAATTTTGCCTTTTTTCCCTGTTAATTTATATTCCCCTTTTAAATGTCTTTTTTCTTTTTGGCTTTTGAGTGTAGTTTCCTGTTTTTTTGTTTTTCCTTTTTTTCTCTACTTCCTTTCTTTTGGGAATTTCATTTTCCAACATGCCCTTTTGTTTGAAGGAGAGGGGAAGAGAGAGAGAATTTCGGGGGGGGGAGAATTTGGGGGGGGAGGGGAGAAGTAAACGGGGGAGAAAGACAAACCTTTAAAAAAGGGGGGGGAAAAAAAAAACCCGTTCGGCTTAAAAAACCCCCCCCCCTCTCCCCCTTCCTACTTCCCATCCCCCCCCGGGGAAGATGTGATTGGATTTACCCACATGGAGAGAGCCCCCGCCCGGATTTTCTGAGGAAAGGGCGCGATTGGGCACTGAGAGGGCACTGAGAGAGAGAAGGGGGAAGGTTCAGTGACATGCCAAAAATTTTTTAAAGAACCGAAGGGAAAAGTAAAAGCCCCAAGAACCCCGACAAAAAAGGTGCTTTGAGATCTTCCCTTTTCCCCAACAAGGAAATAGGCCCCAAAAGGGAGAGAAATGTTTCCCCCTTGCAAACCCGGTTTTTTCCCCTTTTTATTTCCCTTGCCCCAAAGGGATCCAAACTTTTTCCGTTTCCCTTTCCTTTTTTTTTTAAAAACATTTTATTTACCTTAATATCCCCACTTGACTATACCCAAACCTTCTCCCGCCCATTTTTCTCTCATTAAAATGAAAGGGCCAGGGAGGGAGGGGAAAAGGGAAAGGGGTTTTTTGGGGGAGAGCAGGAGAAAAGGAGGGGGGGGGGGAAAAGGGGGGGGGGGAGGAAGGGAAGAAGGAAATAGAAACAGAGGGGAGGAGGGAAAGGGAGGGAAGGAGAAAAGGGAAGGTTTTTAAAAAATGTTTTTTTTTTAAAACCCGAACTTTTTTAATTTAATTTAAGGGGGGCCCATAAAAAGAATGCCTATTGAACACAATGAAACCCGGAAAGGATACATTGGGAAATTGTAAAAGGGGTTTTTTTCCCATGCCATTTTGGGGTTTAAAAATCGGCACCGTCCCCCCCTTTAGAGATGATGATACGATGCAGAACAGCTGCTGGTGGGGGGGACTCTTAAAACCCCTTGAAAATTTCCCCAAACCAGAGGCCCAAGCAAGCATAAACAACTAACTGTAAACACCCCCTGAAAAACCGGTGTTTTTAGGGTATTTATTTTTATTTGGACACAGACCCAACACTTTTTCCTTTTTTGGTGGTAAACTGTTTCACCATGGTTTGTAAATTTTTTTATGGGCTTTTTGTTTTTTTTATCCCTATAACTGAAATTTTTTTAAAATGACCCAAAGAGTTTTTTTAAAAGGGGGTTTTCTTGCAGCATTGCTTTCGTTAAATAGACTAATCCTATAATCTTGATTTAAACCTTTTTGTCCCTTTTGAAGCCCCCCAAAAGGGGATTCCATTGTTTAAGAAGGGATATCCTTTTGTGTGATGGCATCGGCTGCTAAATAAGAAACCCTTGTGTTGGGGGGACCATCAGGGGCTCACTGAAAGGGTGAACAGCTTCCCGTTATGTAAAAGGGGAGAGGGTAGAGGGGGACCCTAGAGTGAAAAAAACCAGACCAGGCAATTCGTTTATGCACCCAGAAAAAGAATAAAAAAATAAATCCCCCCGAAGGCAAAGAAGGGTACAGTACTTAACTATTTTTTGTTTTTTTGGCCGACTTTTATGCATTTCAAACAAAAAGCAAAATGAATAAGTGGGTATGTGCATAAACAGTAGGTACTACTTTTAATGGGAAAAGGAAAAACTGTGTGCACATTGAATTACACTGGGCCTCCCAATTTGGTTGAGATCTTTATCAGGGCCTAGCATCATAGGGGCTCATCTTTTCACACTCTACCTTGGTACCCCCTTTAGGGGGGGGGTCACACCACCCCCTATGCGAGCAAGGTCCCCTTTCCCAGTAGACAATTTAATTGTGAAGCCAAAATGGGGGGAAAAAAAGAAGGATGGGCCGAGGCCCAAAAAAAACACAATCCCTAAAAGAATTTTTTCCACCAAGTAAATTTGTTCGATAAAATTCCACCCCCCCCATATCTTCTTCTTTTTTTCTTTTTTCCGGGGGTCTCGGGGGAAGGATTTTTCTAAAAACCATTTTACAAAAGGGACCCCTTTGGTGGGATTGTAGGAGATTCGATTTTTTTTTTTGGAAAATCTTGGGGGATTTGGGAACTGTCGAAGCCATTGGTTTGGGTTTTTTTGTGTTCGTTTTGAGGACATTTATTATGTAAACCGTTCATTAATTCCGCTATTAACAAAGGTCTACGCCCCCGAATAAACAATGAGTGCCGCATTTTTTGTCTTGTGGACTTCTTTGCTTCGAAATGGAATAGGGCTTCAGTTTTTAAACAAAGGACTGAATGCAGCCCGCTCCCCCGATGGGCCATCGTAAGTTAAAATGTGGGCAAAATAACTTAAAGCTAGGCTTATAGCCTTCAATAGT